TCTTTTTTCTGAGAAAACATAACTTAAAAAATAATGATACCTGACTTCCATCCTCTGAAATCCTTTGAAATTGATCAAGATACATTTATTTGACTTTGTAGATTTCTTTTTCTGCTCTTCATCATATAAAAATGGAAATTACCCAAAATAGGTTTCCTTCTAAGTAAGAATAATTTTTTTAAAAGAGCTTTTGTGATTCATATCATAGCATAGCCTTTTCCTCATAAACAGTGAAAATCATGTGTGTTTTTTATATACCCTTCTTGAGTTTTGAGACTGCTTATATCTGCTAATTTCTGTCATAATCTTAACATTATGTAATCTGATTTTGGTGATTGTAGTTTAAAACAAAGTTGCTGGAAGAAATGATGAAAGTTTCTGTGGGTTTCATTTGTTCCTATTACCTGTTCAACAAAGACTAAGATAAACCATTGAGACCAAAATTTCCTGATAAAATATACTCATTTGTGAAGAAATTATGACTTTTAATGATGCTGTCAGCTTAAAAATAATAATGATAATAAAAATCTGGCTTTAAAAAATGGTTTATAAAGGGCTTTCCAAGAGAAATATAATGCAAGCCATATATTTAATGTTGAATTTTCTAGCAGTCATATTTAAAAACTTAAAAGAAACAAATGAAATTAATTTTAATAATGTATTTTATTTAATCCAATATATCCAAAATATTGTGATTTCAACTTTTAAGCAATATAAAACTACTGATAAAATATTTTAAGTCTTTTATATTATGTATATTGTACTAAATCTTTGAATTTATGAGGCATTTCAATACAGATGCTGAATTTTAATTGAAAATTCTTAATCTGTATTTAGATTTTATTACATTTACAGGTGAAAAAGTAGATTTCATCCACCCAAGTTGTTCCAAACATACTAAAAAGTTTTCCAATAACTGAACCAAATATTAGGTTTTTTTAAATTAAATTTTATTTTTTTAATTTTTTAAATTAAATTAAATTTATTAAATTAAATTAAATTTATTTTATTAAATTAAATTAAATTTATTTTTTAAATTAAATTAAATAAAGTTAAAAATTTGGTTCTTCAGTCACACCAGCACATTGTAAGTGCCCCAAAACCACATTAATGAGGGGCTATCATATTAGAAAGATAAAGTATATAAATTGACAATAATATACTGGACCATTAAAAAAAAAAGAGCTGTTCACATTAGATCAAAGTGAAATGCTATTCTGTTGTAAGAGCAAACTACATAATAATGGGAGAAAATATTTGCAAACCATTAATGTGGTAAAAGGTTAATTTCCAAAAAATATAAAGAACTTCTACACCTCAACAGCAAAAAAAAAATAAAAAACAACCCATACTAAAACAATAACCCAATTTAAAAATGCACTAAGGGCTTGAATATACATTCCTCCAAAGAAGAAAGATAAATAGCCAACAGATATTTGAAAAAAATATTCATTGTCAATAACCATCAAGGAAATGCAAATCAAAACCACATTATGACTTCATACCTGTCAGGATGGGTTTCATTGAATAAACAAAAAACAAAGTGTTGTCAAGGATATGGAGAAATTGGAACCCTTGCACACCATGGGCAGGAGTACAAAATGGTACAGCCACTGTGGAAAATAGTATAGAGGTTTCTTGAAAAATTAAAAATAGAACTACCCCATGATCCAGCAAGCCCACTTCCGGGTAAGGTTCTCAAAGATATATTAGCACTTCCACATTCAGCACTATTCACAATAGCCAAGATGTGGATCCAACCTAAATGTCCATTAATAGATGAATGAATAAAGAAAACGTGGTTTATACATACAATGGAATATTATTTGGCCTTAAAAAAGAAGGAAATTTTTGTAATATACAGCTACATGGATGAAACTTGAGGGCATCATGCTATGTGGTAACACATAATCACTTAAGCCAGTCACAGAAAAAAAGATACTACAAAATTCTACTTATGTGAGGTATCTAAAATAGTCAAATTCATAGAATCAAAGGTAGAATAATGATTTCCAGTGGCTGAGGGGAGAGAGAGAGACAGGGAATTGCTAATCAACAGGCATGAAGTTTCAGTTAAGCAAGATGAATAAGCTCTAGAGATCTGCTGTACAGGATTTTACCTGTAGTTTATTTAAAAATTTGTTAAGATGGTAGATCTCATGTTAAATGTTCTTTATAACAATAAAATTTTTTAAATGTCAAACTCTATTTGCTTCGTAATAATTTGAAGTTATTTCTTTTTTGTTTTATTTTATTTTTAATTGACACGTAATTGTACATACTTACAGGGTACGGTGTGATGTTTTGATATATGTATATAATACATAATGTTCCAATTAGTGTAATTAGCATATCCATCACCCTAAAAATTTATCATTTCTTTGTGGTGAGAACATTCAAAATCCTCTCTTCTAGTGATTTTAAAATACACAGTATGTTATTGTTAACTATAATCACCCTACTGTGCAATGGAACACTGGAACTTATTCCTCTTATCTAACTGGAACTTTCTACCTCTTGACCAGCTATCCCCCATCCTCCCCACCCACCTTCCCAGCCTCTGGTAACCACTATTCTACTCTTTACTTCTATGAGATCAACTTTTTTAGATTGCATTTGAGAGTGAGTTCATGCAGTATTTGTCTTTCTGTGCCTAGCTATTTTTAATTTTTTTAGGAGCCTCCATACTGTTTTCCATACTGTCTATACTTACATTCCCACCAACAGTGTGCCAGAGTCTCCCTCTCGCTGCATCCTCAGCAGCATCTGCTAATTTTTTGTCTTGTTGATAATAAGCCATTCTAACTGGGGTTAATTGATACCTCCTATCTCTCCTTCTCTGATAATTGATTCACCTGTTTACTTTCTAAGACAGACTATAAATAGGAGAAAGAGGAGCAAGTATCAAGATTCTGGGTGAATTAAAGTTTCCCTAAGAGGTAAAATGAGAACCAGCGTGGAGAATCGAACTTCCTGATGTCTTGCTCGTTCTGTACTTCATTTATGGCATGCTATCATAACAAGAGCACAGGACTTGGATATGCCAGTTCTCTGAGTTGAGGTCCTGGCTCTGCTACTTCTATTTGTAGAACCTTGGAGAAGTCATTTGACCTTCATGAGGGTCAAATGTTGCCTCTTCTGTAAAATGAGAATCTGTTGTCTCAATCTCAAAGCGCTATCATAAGAATCAAATAGATTAGTGTGTCAATGCAAGGACTTATTATAAGGTCTTTGAAGAGACATACGTTCTAAATAGCATTCCAAAAGTAAGAACAATCTCTTCTGAAGCTTGAACATTTAAAATAGAACCAGACTATTAATGACATATTAGAGAGGCAGCCTGGGTTCTGGAGTTGGGAAATCCAGTTTCGAATGATCCTAGTTGCATGATCAGCAAATATTTAATTTCTATGACTCTGTGTTACTTCATTTACAAAATAAATAATGTTTGTTGTAAGAATCAATAGTATATATAAGCATTCCAGAAAAGTGTCTGGCATGTAATAGTCACTTAATAATTGACAATTGTTGATGTAGTAATTTTTTAATGCACATTTTCAAATTAGCTAAACAGGACTGTTAAGAACTGAGTACTGTCCATTAAACTTTAAGTACTTGCAATGCGCAAATATCTTTTATGAAAAAAGCAGATCTTTAGAAGGGATTTCTTCTGCAAAAGTTTTTAAATCTTTGTGACATATATGCCAAACAAAGCCAACCCAATATGCAGGCTTAGAAAGGTCATTTATAAGCCAGCTAGCCACAAGGGAGGCCAATTTTCTTGAGGTGGGTTGGAACAAAACTCTGACCAATAGTATTGTTTTATCATGGAAGGTACTAAGTAAAACCCACTGAAGTTTGTTATTCTTGGGCAGTTTAAACACCAGATGCACAGAGCTCAGGTTGTCCCTGAATGAGCCTGAAATACTGTTGGGATCTATGTTGATCCTGCTGTACACCTCATTCTCAGAAGCTCTGGGACACTGAGTGACAATGCAGCTATTAGGATTAGTGTTCTTCCTGACTTCCTCATGGACATTTCAATAACCCTAATAACCACAGTGCGTGTTTCTTCTTTGCTTAACAAATATATTCACCTTCATTGCTAAAACTATACTAAGGTGCTGAAGGATTATTTGCTATGTGTTTGTTTGTTTGCTTGCTTGCTTGTTTGTTTTTCTGAGACAGAGTCTCACTCTGTTACCTGGGCTAGAGTGCCGTGGCATCAGCCTGGCTCACAGTAACCTCAAACTCCTGGGCTAAAGTAATCCTCCTGCCTCAACCTCCCAAGTAGCTGGGACTACAGGTGCGCACCATTACACCTGGCTAATTTTTTTTTTTGCATATATCTTATTATTTTTTATTTTAGCATATTATGGGGGTATAAGTGTTAAGGTTACATATATTGCCAATGTCCCCCTCCCCTTCGAGTCAGAGCTTCAAGCATGACCATCACTCAAACGTTGCACATCTCACTCATTGTGTTTGTATATACCCATCCCCTTTTCCCCCCTTCCACCTGCCTGACACCCAATAAATGTTATTCCTATATGTCCGCTTAGGTGTTGATCTGTTAATACCAATTTGCTGGTGAGTACATGTGGTGCTTGTTTTTCCATTCTTGAGATACTTCACTTAGTAGAATAGGTTCCAGCTCTCTCCAGGAATATACAAGAGACGCTATATCACCATTGTTTCTTAAAGCTGAGTACTGGGCACCTACCCAAAAGATCAAATGACACTCTGGCTAATTTTTTCTATTTTTAGCAGAGATGGGTGGTCTCGCTCTCGCTCAGGCTGGTCTTGAACTCCTGAGCTCAAGCGATCCTCCCACCTTGGCCTCCCAGAGTGCTAGGATTACAGGCATGAGCATCTGGCCAATTTGCTATGTGTTTAAATGACCTACCTAACAGCAATCCTCACAGGCAACATTAGAAAAGTAATAATAATAATCTTTTCTGTGAACAGTAATATTCCACTTAATTCCTACATTTTCTCACCTGTTTGCCTTTCGAAGAACGTCAAATAGATGGCTTAGTGATGTGTCATTCTGAAACACGTCTGGAAAACTGGAGAGGAGCTGCCACACAGCAGTCTGCTCTTGCACTTGCGAGAAGAAGGACAGCGCTCCGACCAGTTCCTGAAACACTATCTTCTGGTTGTTGGGGTCACTTGATATCTTCAAAAATAAAACCACAGAGTACAATAAGACTTTAACATTTGGAATCACATGGCTGACTGTCTTTGAAAGCCTCAAAACTCTAGATTCTCACATAAGCAATTCTTTCAGATCTTCACACAGTTTGAAGCCATCTTTCACCTGGAAAAACTGCAACCGTTTCTAATGTTCTTAAACCTAATTGGATTTTCCCCCCTCTAACTCCAGAAATTGGCATATTTTAAATCTGGTTAACAACGCTGTATTTACATAAAATATTTGAAATGATATATTTGGAAATTAAAGTTAATTTCCTAAATAAAATTAGCTCTGAGTAATGGTTTTCTTTTTTGTTAGGACCTGGTTTGGGAGTTGCAGATGTATCTTCCTTATATCTGTTACTAGATCTTATATTGTTTGGGTGGAGTATACTTAAAACTAATGTATAGGTAGAGATATGGAGATATGATATAAATATATTCATTATATATATGTGTGTGTGTTTAGGAAAATGTTTACCATTACAATTACTAATACATTTTTTTATTTTATCATATTATGGGGGTACAAATATTGTGAGGGTTACATATATTGCCCCTGCCCTTCCCCCCCTTACCAAAATATCAAGCGTGCCCTACCCCCAGGTGGTGCGCATTGCACCTATTTTGTAAGTGTAAATTCTTCTCCTCATCCCTCTTCCCATTTGCCCACCACCCGATAAAAGTTTGTTTGTTTTTTCCTTTTTTTTGACCTTTGAGTTACATTGCATATCTTTGCCATTCCCTTGGAAGTGTTAGAGGAATTCCCTCCCCCCCACTATGCTCACCACAACTCTAAGATGTGTATCTCCCCCTCCCCCAAACCCTAACGGTCACTATCCCCATTTGAGCACCATAGTTTTAATCAGTCAGCACCAATTTGATGGCGAGTAGATGTGGAGCCCGTTTACTTGATCTTGTGTCACCTCACTTTGGATAACGGGTTTAAGCTTAATGCAGGATAGCATAAACGGTGCTAGCTCACTGTCATTTCTTAGAATTGAATAGTATTCCATTGTGAGCATATACCAAATTTTAGTTATGGATGGACTCATGAATTGATGGACACTTGGGTTGTTTCCATGATCTTGCAATACAATTACTAATACTTAATGCAATAAAATAGTTTCAAAGATCTAATGCAATACCAGGAACTTTAGTCATAATAAATGATTTATAGTGAGTGGAGCTGTATAATAATCACACCCTATACTGTAAAAAAATAAACAAAAACTATGACTCTTGCTCTTGGTCTGGATCATAGGATGCAGCTAGTACTTTTAGAGGTAAAGTATTTTCTTCATTATATTTCCATACAAAGTGTTTTCCTAATAAGCTCATTTACACTAGTAAAATTGAGCTCTTGATCTGTCTAAATTTAAGGTCTTTTACTCTGAGAATGTGATTTTGAGCAATGTATTCTTGACCATATATTCTACTCTACCTGACTGCCAATTTTGTTAAGAAAGGATTTTAAGTGCTTTACATAGGATTGGGGTTACAAAAACAGTATGTCTAATTGAGTTTAGTTGGAAGATTCACATTATACTGAAGGGTTATTTAAAAATTCTGTACTTAAAATACTTACAATAAAATTTGGAGAATCAAGGGGAAAATATTAGAAGCAGTCATGTTTCATTTATTGTGGTCTATAAAATTTTAAGAAAGTTCTGAATACTTTTTGTGATCTTTCACTATATGTGGGATTTCAGTAAATATAGATTATTGGTATCTCATTTTCACCATTATCATTTAAGACTTGCATATACAAATGGTCATTAGCACTTCAGAGTAGAATGTTCTTGCTTCTAATGTGTAACATTTTGGGGAGAGGGATATATTGTTTCATCAAAATTTAGCTTTTCAAACTAGATTTAAGGTAAGTGAGAAAAACAGAAAGACATTACCCGTTATTTTAACTTCTGATAGTTATATGGCTCTGATAGTTTAATTATTAATCTTGTATTACATCCTGAGTAATCTCACTTAAAGATTTTAAACAGTCTTCATTCGCCATAGAGCATAGCCATATCTCATCTATAAAGATGTGTCTACATTAACCATAATGCAATATTTTTGGTTCAGCATTGAAATCATCCCAGTTCTTCACATTTAAATGATAAGTGAACATTCCTTAAGACTAAGCATGTGTCCAAATGTCTATGTGAGGAAAATATGCCAAAGGTGAGCAAATATCCCAGTCAGCATTTCCCAGTCCACATGGGCTACAGATTTGCTCTTCGACTCGTGTTCAATCACTTTGAGAATCCAAGAATGGAAACAGTACCCTCCTATTATTTATGAGATCTTGAGCATACTAATACATCTACACTCACCCGAGAGAACTGTTTCTTTAGTTCTTGGAGAGAAGACTCTAAAAGGGTCATGTTGGAAAGGCAGAATTTGTTGAAAACATTTTTTCCTAGAGTGGTCCAAGAGAAGGCATAATCCGCAATGTATCCTGGATAGCTCTCACACAGTTCTCTTCGTATATCTTCTGAAGTTGAATTTTTCTCTAATAGCTAAAAACATGTGAGAGAACAGTTAAATAATGATGTTAGTAAATCTAGATGTTAAAATATTCTAGTCTTCAAGGAAACTGACCTGTCTTCACAATAGCCACTTAAAGTCCTCCATTACAGCAACTATTAAAATAACCATAAAATGCATTGAATTTACTGGTAAGAACTTGCAGAGGGAATGTGGTAAATTCTTGTCTTTGTTGTTATTTCAATGATTTACATATGATTTGTTTAACTGAACTCTGTTTCTGACCAGAAAACCTAAATGCACCAGGTCTTTTCTGATAAAAATCTTCATGCAGAAAAATCTTATTCATTTTTTTCTGGACATTGGGCAGCAGAAACTCAGGTGTCCTAACCCTTTGTAACACATCATGAGAAGCTGGTTGTGATGTTTGAAAGACTTCCAAAAGAAGGAGCTTCAAGGTCAAAGGACCAATAGTGTTTATTTGCAGATATGGACAAACATGGATTATGTTTCACTAGCAAAACAATTCTTCCATTTAAGTCTTACATATAGAAAGAAAAGAGGAAAACATAAGTGAAAGTACCTAAAATCAAGTATAATTACTAAAATCAATCAATTGGAAATCATTTTTATAATATAATCATTATAATCACCCTATGTATTTTATAGTGCAGACCATTCACAGATATAGCACTATTTTCACCTATAATATTGAGTGCATTTACCATTATTAAGTTGTTTAGGTATTTAGACCCAATTATATTTAGTTGTCATACTTAATGGGTCCCTATTAATATTTAATTCTTATAACCCTGTGGGGGGAAGCCAACTTCATCCTCCCCTTAAGTTTATGTCACCAAATCTACACTCTACCTTCCAGGGACTCAACTTCCAAATGTAATGGAACACGACAAGATCCATTTATCTAGGATGTACTACTATAAGTGCTAGATCTTCTAGTCATTCATCCATATCTTTTTTCTAGCATTACACATAAACTCACCCCAAAATGATTTCTCTACTCGTTCTTGCAAGGGTTGCAGAAAGCAGTGAAGAGAAAGAAAGAGGAATCAGAGAGAGTGCTGACACAGGCATCAATATGTCATCCTAATTTTTACATCCCTTCCCTACTCCAACTTCTCTAAAAATATGTATCTATACATAGAAAATTCATTTTTGGCTTATCTCCCCTAGATATATGGCTCTATGTGCTGCCTCACAAACATCTAAAATTTTATTCCATGTGAGAAAGAGAACTTGGGAGTTTCAATACGATAAAGTGGTATTTTTTAGCATTGCCGTTCTAGGCATTAAAGAATTTATTTGGTCCAATGCAATATTGTCTGATTCTAGCAACCAATATGGAAGCAATAGAATGGAATAGAATAACTTTCTTGAGTTTGCACACTGGCCTGACTGGAGGAGGCTGAGACTGGAATTAGCTAGGCATATTGGGGGATGTCTATGCCAGACAGGGAGCCTTACAGACCTCCAATATTATTTAAACTAGACTAGACTTTCAACGTCTCAACTGGCCTGAATGGGAAAGTCTTCTATTTCAGCCAGCATGGGCAGAGTTGCCTTGATGAGTGTTGGTGGTGCCTTTTCCTGGTGTCCATTTTTTTGTTGTCCTTTGGCTTATTTATATAATCCAATTTATTCAGATGCTTCAGTTATACAGAATGGTAATTTGGTGGTAACTAACAAAGACATATTCAGAAGTAGTGGTTATGGTCACTAGACCGCGATTAAATGTCAGAGATGTGTCTGATGATTCAGATGGAAGAAATGTCTACTATGTAAAACATGGGTAAATTATTAAAAGTATATGTGTGTGTGTAAATGTGATGTGGAAGGGAAGGATAGATAAAGAGAGGAAGAGAATAGTCTCTATAAAGCAAAATGTTGAAAATTATCTCTTCTTTATTTCTAAAGAGCATATAAAACAGGACTCAAATGCCTATGGGACCAGCCAAATAACTTAAATGTATGAATCTGGCTGTATTAAAGACAATAATGAGAGGTGGGCATTGTAGTTACAAAAAGCACCTGTTCTGCCTAAAAGCATTCAAATTCAATTTCTTAAAATCCTTGTACATGCACATACACGCACACACACACATTTAGCTCGCGGGCTGTCAGTTCATACCTCTGAGAGAAATTATGTTTATTATCTTGCAATCTGAGAAATCCTAAAGTGAATATTCACTAGGAAACAGAGAAATCCATAGATAATCTCTCTAAAATATGCTAAGGAAAATGATTTTCCTACTTTGAGGCAATATTTTCCATAGCTCTAATTTTTCCAAGGACATGATTAATATGGATGAGGCAGCAAGTTCAGAGAGTGTTATAGCTTCATTTGGTCTTGTTTTCTTCCCTGTCTCATAAAATTAAAAGATTACAAATAATGCCATCCTATTTCTTACCAAATAAAAACCTTAAGTTCAATTAAGGGACTTAACAAGGAAGTAAATACTCAAGACCTTAAGGAATTTAGAATGTCTTAAAATTAAGCTGTTTATTGAAGAGCTCCTAAGACTCCACGTGAGATATTATTCTAAATAGGAAAGGTGCTCCAAATCTCTTCCTGTTGGGGAGATCCTTCCATTAACTTTAAAAGGCATTTTTTTCAACTGCTTTTTATTATCTTTCTGTAACAATACTGAATGAAGTTACCTTTTCCAAACCAAGGATTCGTGCAAGCACTTGACTGCCATTGAAAGTATCTCTTCCAATACTTTCCAAATCAGAACTTGGACTGGGAAATACTGTAGCTGTAGTAGAGGAAAGAACAGATTAGCATTCTAAGTGCACACATCAAAACGGGCAGGATCATATAAGAATCCATAAACATCACTTGTGACCTCATATATCCCACAGCAAAAATGTGCTCAAATATGCCTCTTCCATGAAAGTTTCATACTGAAACAATGGCAAATGCCATGGGTTTTTCTTTTCATATAAAATTGTGATGGTTTTGGTCTGCTCTTGGTTTTTTTCCAATCATTTAGATGTCATTTGCTTTCATTCCAGTTTGTGTCATTAAACTTCATCACCAGTATTATTGCCCAATAAACTGAATCATTTCTGTGCAGGCCTAGAGGATTCGAGGTGCCTCCACTAGCTCCACAGATCCATCATACCCAACATCTGTTCAAAGGATCTGCCAATGCACATCTGGTGATAATGGTATTTTTAAAAAATTATCCAATTGGGATGCTGAAATCTGCTCAGGATCATAAATTCTCTCCTCCCCAAAGTGGTTTCTGAATGATATTTCAGATCAAATAAATGGGATAAAGCAATTAGCTCAGACTACAATATACACTAATTAAGTAATTCCCAAAGCGGTCTCATCTAGTACTATTTGTGATGTGGCAAAGATTTCTGGGCTTGGAGAATTATCTAGAAGAGTACATTCCTATCTGTAGTGTGGACATTCATTAAGCCAGTATGTTGATTTTATAAATTTTGGACAGAAGTACTCTGTTATTCTCACAGCAAAGAATCTCAATATTCAAAGATAACTAGTAACCCATCATCAATAGGGCCTAGGTTTTATTTTAGTGTCTATGGGGCTAAATAATTTGCTAGCTGATTCCTTGACCAAGACAATACATTTGTGAGATGACTGGCCAGGGTGAGAAACATAATTTGTGGCTAGCAAGCACAGCAAAGGTTACTGGACCATAACATTATGACCTTATTTCTACTGTGCTTTAACCTACCAAGCCGGACACCCACAGCTCATTCACAACAGAACATTAACTCCTCAAAACCATTCACCACCATGTCCCTACTACATTAATGCAGGACTTCTGTTTTACTTGGTCCATCAACTTGTATTGGAATGTTATTTAATATCATAGAGTATCAAATATTCTCTGGCATTTTTAAAGATACTCCCTTTTTATCCAGAGCACCAATCACATTCCAACATGAAAAAAATCTTGTTTTGTTCATTAAATATATCCCCCATCAGCAGAACAATGCCTACACAACAGCAGGCATGGAATAAATATTTGTCAAATGAATGTAAAACAGCCCTGCAGTTTAAAGACTTTATTCTCAATTTGTGGCTTCTAATCGGTGTTTATCAAGTCCACCTGCAACAGAATCACATGGGCATGAGGCTCAAGGACCGTGTTGTTTTAGGGAGCAACTCAGAAGGATTCTCTGTACCTGAAAGTTTGAGAGCTACTGGCCTAGATGTGAAACAAGTACACAATCACACTGAAGAATGTGACACTTAGTGTTAAGCAGGAAGAAGCAGGGTATAGCTGGAATATTGGCCTAGGAGTCCTTCTGATACCAGCTCTTCTGCATGACTATAGACACAGCACTTAACCTGTGGGGCCTCATATTTCTCATCTATAAAATGGAAAGTCTGGATAAATCTCTGAGACTCATTCCAATTATTTTTATTAATGGTCTTTCTAACCATGCCAGCATCATCTAATTGCAGACAACTGCAGTCCAGAATCAGTTCTAGGAAACAGTGCAATTCTCAACATCTAGGCATTTGCTCCTAGAGGGTATTTCAGTGAGAACTTAATTTCTAATTATTCTCATCAACTTTACATAATTGTATCACCATTCTCAGGCAACCATGAGGCACATTTAGATCTCTTAGGGATAGTCTAAGCATTCCATCTTTGTTTGAAAAGTTTAAAGTATAAACCTTTTAAAGATCAAACCTTTACTGTTCCAAAAGGCTTGTTCTAAACTCTATAGAAAAGAATAGCTTACCCAGTGAGGCATGCCTTCTTTCTGGAACTTGGGTGCTCCGGAGTGATAAATTGCTGTCCTCCAAGTTGGGCGACTTTCTCAGAATTTCACTAGAGAAAAAAAAGCAAGAACTCTATAACTTCTCCCACATTAATTTTAGTTAGTTACAGCAATGTATTATGTGGCAGATTCCAGGGCTCTCCGAGGATGCTGGAATTTTTTAATATACTTTCTAGAATTTTAATGGAAGAATTCACCTAACCATACACCAATGAATATATAAGGTCTCCTACAATGTATATTTTTATGCAGAGAAAGTGGCCTAGATGAGGTTTAAATATAGTTATTTGTTATTTTTATCATGTAGAAAGGAATTTAAAAAGACATTAGGCCCAGATATTGAAATATTTTTTATGATTTTCCTTTCTTTTAAAAAGTTGATAGATCCCAAATAAATGAAAGTCCAAGAGTGCTTTGGGGATTGAAACAAAGGTCTGCTTATTTGTCAACATTAAAAGAAAAACACCTTTTCTATATTAAATTATAGATGACATTTTGAAGATTTTCTAAGTTGAATACTTGCAAGACAGATTCAAGGAAGAAAAAAAAAAGAACAAACATTTATTTAGTATCCAGTATGTGCCAGGGACTGCGGCTGGTGTCATTATCAGTGGCATTAGGTATGAAAGGAATAATATTAAAACAAAATTTTCAATTGTATTAATGTGTCAATGCAGTACTAACCACATTGTGGTGCCAGGAATCCCTGCCCAACAGGATCACATTAGCTTCTGGAATAAAACATTATTAGACCTTCCCACAATTTAGTAATCTTCTTTTTAAAAAATTCACCTCCTGTTTAGTTTATTATTAAAACAGCAATAACCATGACATTCTCTTGAAAATTGAATGTACCCATAAGTGCCTAAAATAAATGTACATATTTTAAAAATGAAATCATTCCAAATGTCTGGTTGCAAATAATTTTCAGAATTCCAAAAACTTGTTTAATTTTGTGTAGTTGTATATAATAAAGCTTAATTAAGATACATAAAATGGATATAAAGAGGTAAAGGAAAAGCAAGAAATTCTGCTTACCATTGTGGTTCAATTTGATTTCTGTTTTAGAAATAAGATCCAAATCTTAGTTCCAGGGTACTTTGTGATTTATAATTGGAAGAAGAAAAAGAGAATATATTTGTTTCCATTCCCTAGTGTTTTTTCCAATATTCGCCATAAAATGTACTGGTTGCTCCAAAGTTCTGCATTCTTAATGTATATTTGAATTATTCATAACCCTGACTGTACTCCCCTAAATCTTTTTACATTCCTTATGCTGACTATTTGGATGGGAAAACTGTTCAGATGAAAATAAGAACTGACCTGAACCTTTTCCCTTCTCTCAAAAAGAAGTTTTAGAAAGTTTGAGAAAGTCATGTTTACTTTTCTTTTTCTCGCTATTTTTTTTTAGTTCAGCTTGAAATACTACAAGGAAGACTATTGAATATCAACACATTTTGAATATAAAGGAAAAAAACTGCCTTCATAAAAATTTTAGGGACTAAGGACACAACGAAAACCAAAAGGAGAATAACAAAGATGAAAATGAGCAATGAAGGAGCAAGGGATAACAGACAATAATAAATGGTAGTGGAGAAAGAAAAAAAGAATGAAGAAGCCATCAGAAACTAAGAATATGTGCACTTGGAAAAGAAAAAACTGCATCTTGTCCACAGAGGACACTTTACACATCTTTGCACATTCAGATGAGAGCCCCCAAATTACTCCTACGAATATTCTTTAAACACCAAGGAAGGACAAGCTCAATCCTTTCCCAGCAAGCAGTTGACTCAGCAGCCCTGAGTTTGCTCAACAGCAAAACAGCTGCTCCCAGGAAAGGAACCATGGAGGACTTTTCCTTTACCAGAAAATGCCCGTGGTTATGCGGTTGCCCACATCCTTTTCAATGGCTTGGCATATCTTTTTGTGAAAGTGAGGGCTTGGGACATCTTGTGTGCTTTGCAGTATCTCTTCCTGAAAATTTTCCCCAGTTTTATTTTGCCTTTACAAGGTGTGGTGTGATGGCATGTGTCTACGTCCATTCATATCAAAACTGGTCCAGGAGTCCTCAAACTAGGGACATGTGGGCCGCCTACCACATTTATCAGGCCCTCCAGGTGTTTTTGCTGCCGCTGCCTGTCCTGCTTAGCAGCCGACTCGTCCCAGGCCCACAGTACGCACTCTCCAACGGTCTGAGGGACAGTGAACTGGCCCCCTGTTTAAAAAGTTTGAGGACCCCTGCTTTAAACTCTTTAAATGGAAACCACAGAAAAGGTCCAACAGAGAGTGTGTGAGTAAAAAGATAAATTAAAGTTGTAAGTTGAAGTACAGCTTACTTCCCCCAACAAAGATAATTCATTCTATTAACTCCTTAAGACAGCAAGAAGGTAGCCAGTCTTACTGAGTAATGGTCTTCTCTGAAGTTTCTAATACATGACATATTTCTTAGAGTGATGAGTGAGAAACAGTATGCTTTTTGTTATTTCCCACAACCACTTTGTATGAATTTATTTTATATGTATCTATCCCCAAAACTTTTCTACTCTAGGTTATGACATCTTTGGGAGCAGGTACCACGTCTCATTCACCTTTATGTTCTAGAATCTAGCAGTGCTGGACCATAAGATTTGATGGCTGGTTGAACAAAAGGAGACCATATTGCTGGAGTGTGGCAGGAAGAGCTTTAGAGTTAGAGCTCAGCTTTGGATTTTCAGCTCTGTCTCTTCCTTAAAGATCTCAGCCACTGTCTTCCCCATCTGCTGGTTAGGCATGATAGCACCTGTCTTTCAAGGTTGCTGTGAGTATGAGACAAGATGTATGTACTGAGTGTCTGGTACCCTGTCTTCACTGGCACTCTCCAAAATTAGCTCTTTGTCAAAATACTCAAAAAAGATGATGTGCAAAGGCACAAACTTGACCATCAGTAGGAAGCTGAAGGGCCATACTTAAGCATGTGTTCTAAGATACAGCCTCTTTAGAATCCCAGAAGCTTCAAGAAATATGAATACCAAATGGATGAATCTCATTATTTTATAGATTTGGAACCTGCAAACATTGGTTGGTGAAGAGGGATGAGACATAGTACCTCACCCTGGGTTTTGTAACCCTTTCCTCATTGTATGGGTTTACTTAATTTCTTCATCTATTTATGAGAAGAATTTTCCATTTGTAGTTATGATCAATTTTCCCCTTCTTGGACTGTAATCGTCTTGAGAAAAGTCTACAGTGCACTGTGTTGGCAGATGGTAGGATGTTTCACACTTGTTAGCATTGGATGCTTGATGATGAAGAATGTCACTCGGAACAACTTATAGCTAAGGAAGCATCTTGTTAAATGGCCTTGTCCTGTTCTCCATGGTTGTGTACCTGATTCTGCCAAGGTTCTGCCAAGAGAAAATACCCAGGATGGTACCATAACCCCAAAGTTATAATCTTACACTGTGTTTACCATATTCATTCATTAACTCACCAACATTGATTTGGTTCTTATTGGATGTAATATAATGGGGAAGTCAAATAAGAAAACAAAGGGTTACAGTACAGTAATGAGAATAGCTAAGTAAAGACACACACAGAGGAGCGTGGGAACACATGACAGGAACTCTAGATCACAGTTATCATTTATGTTTCTTATAGAGCAAGATCTTGAGACATAATCTTAATTCAAGCTTCTTGCCACATTAACATTTTTCCTTCACACTTCCACTACAGCAGTGGTTTTCAACCAGGGACAATTTTGCCCTCCTCCTCTAGGGGACATTTGACATATTTGGTTGACCCAACTGTGTGTGAGGTGCTACTGGCATCCAGTAGGTAATGACTAGGGTTGCTGCCAAGCATCCTACAATGCACAACACAACAAAGAATTGTCTGCTCTAGTTATCAATAGCTGAGAATCAAGACTGAGAAGCCCTACACTAGACCATGATGGGTAAGTTGAATTATTCAACATATCCCTATTCTTGCTCCCCAGGATCAACTCAGGAAACTTAAAAATTCTATTCAGGTGCTCTAAATAGCTCTGAGGAAGTTTCATAGGCTCTATCTCATACTGCATATCTCTGAGAAGTATATTAAAGCATTGTGCAAAACGTAGATGTCCCTGAATTTGGCACATAGGACCATCCAATTCCAGAAAATTCAACCCTCCAGGTGAACCAAGAAAGCCTGGATCAAACCACCAAGGGGTCCGTGGCATAATTCAACTAACTTTTATTGGCCCCAGACACATGTAAGGTGTCAAGGAGATGGCTAAGGACCTCTCCTCTAAGATGTTGAACACATAGAATCTGCCTCAGTGGCATTTATAGGGCTCTATTTTGGAGTGGAATTCAATAAGGGAAACATCTTGGATTTAAGAATTCCATCATACTTGGAAGAAAACTAAATGCAGAATAGATTTTACTTCTTCTCAGACATGTCTACCAACAGATACATGCAGGAAATGTCACATTTATATATATCATCGTAATGGTACAATTTATGCACTTTTACTAGGTGTCTTTGTATTTCCTGTGAGTGGGAAAGAGTACCTGTACAAGTGGTATATGTGTGTGCCATGGTAAATTCTATTTATAAAAGAAACTCCTATTAGGAAAGGGCCATATGGCTTATCCTGGAAAGAAAATTATGACATTCTTTTTTTTTGTCTCTAAGGGTTAGTAAAATTTTTATATGTATTTTTTCTCTTTTTGCCAGAAATATAATTATATGGGTACATAGTGACACCTGGAAAGATGTGAGTTGTGCTCTAAGCTCACTTCTGATCCCAGTGGGGGACAACATTCATTGTTGACTTTTAACTGTAAATAAAGACTCAGGATACTGTAATGGTCACTGCAGCCCCCTCAGTTGTTCTTCCTGCCTCTCCCCAAGCAAAAGTCATTCACAGAAGCATTTTAATTGTTTTGATTATCTTCTTGTGTTTCATCCTGACCTCCATTCCTTAAGGGTCATTCGTGCTTCAGATACGGATGCCTGCCCACATTCAAAACATCTCTCTTCTCTAAGCGGCCCGGTTACAATCCAACAATCAATACCAGTGAAGACTTAGAAATTCTTCAATATGTTGCCCTCTCCTAGAGTTTTTAATATTCTTATGAAGGACTTTGGAGTAATAATATATAACTGAACTAGCACATTTCTAAAAGTGTTTAAAGGCACTCTACGAGAAGATGAGGAAAAGTTTTAGGGGGTAGATGTGTGAAGTAACGCCTAGAATAGGGAGAAAGAGATAATATCACAGTATCTCTCTGATCACATTATACAGATTATATTCTACCTAACTGTGAGACAGGCAGATCACTCTGGGAACACGGCAAGGAAATTTGTAATTTCTCTTCCACAGTTGGTAGCAAAAATATCTGCCTATTCCTCGAAGCCATCTATGCAAATTCCTCCATCTATTGTTGTCTTGCACTGAGGTCTGGCATTCTTTCTCTAAGGCTTGTCTCAAATATACCTTCCTCTATTCTGGTAACTACCACCTTATCTGTCCTTAATGACCACACTCACTTTTTATTTTATTTTATTTTTTTGAGACAGAGTTTCGCTTTTTTGCCCAGGCTAGAGTGAATGACCACACTTTTAAAAGCCTCTGGGAGAACTCTCCTGACATCTCCCCACACAAACCTATTTCCACTCCAATAACGCACCCACCAGTGAGATCCATGTTCCTCAGCACAAACAATGCCTTATGGTGCCCGCTTAGCTCTTTGCTGTCTAATGCTCTGGGCACACCGAGACCTAAACAAACATTCATCACATTTACTATGTTGTCTAGTAATTTACCTGTTAGCTGATCTCTCTGTTTCTCTTTGCCACTGAATTGTACATTCGTATAGGGCATGGGAAGTGCCTCCTTCATTTCTGTATCTACAGCAACTTGCGTCATCCTAAGCACGTGTACAAATTCAATCCTTTCTTACCGAGGGAATGACAGTTTGGCCTACATGGCAGTTAAGACATTCTCCTCCTTTGCTTTTTTATAAATAAAATTTTAATGTTTCTTTTTTACTTTAGTACATTTTATTTAGCAATTATCAATGTTTATGTTTTACTTATATGCAATCATATTTTAAATAATGTATTTTAATGTCATTTTAATTACCTGTGTAACAATAATCAATGTAATAACACAAGCTAGCGGAAAGTTTTAAAACTCTTAGAGTCTCAGTTGCCTTTCTTTTTACACTAAACCTAGCTAAAATGGTTTCTAAATGATTATAAATAAATTACTCAAAAATTTATACAGTATGAGACCTATTCATCCTGTCTCATCTTTATAGTCAAATGAGGACAAATATCCTTTTTACTTCCACTTGCCTTATATGCCCAATTATATCTTTAGGTCAGTTTGTAAACTCATTCATATTTTTTATTAAATAAAAAAATTTAAGTAAATCTGATTTAATAGAAATATTAAACAAAATTTTATTAAATAAAAATATTAAACAAAAGCCTTAACACTTAAAATTATTCTTGAATAAAATCTGATTAGCTTTTTTTACAAGTTCTGCAGGAGCCATGCAATAGGAGCAGAGGTCTGAATTTAGAAGCCACGGTTGTGGATGAGTGTCAACAGAAACAGGGAGCAAATCCACAGAGGTAGTTCTTCCACGGGGTCTGCGGGAATGCTGAATCACTCCTCCAAATGAGGACCCTGTGAGCTCTGGGGGCAGCTTTGCCATCCTCCAAGGATGTGAGCGGTGGCTGGCAGCCAGGGGCTCCCGCTGTGCTGCTGTATTCTAACAGGCAGTGCAGGGAAGAAAGAAAAGGGTAAGATCTGTGATGTCGGATCATCTGTTGTGCAAATGAGCACGAAAATCATTTATGTAATTGTTTCTCTTTTCAGAAAAACAGCTAGTTAGAGCGGTTGTTGAGTACAGTGCTGGCTTTTTCTTAAAAGCATCTCATCCTGAAGCTAATGCCTAGAGAAGTATGAATTTAATAACAGAAGGCTGGTGCCAAATGCAAAATCACATCACAATACTTGGCGACTGGCCAGGGAGTAGTGACTGCAGTGTGATCGTGTCTTTCAGAAGAACATTCTATTAAAGGAAACATGGCAGGCCTCTTTTGATGAGACCAAAGGTGGCATTTCTTTCCTCTCTTACAGAACAGAAAAAGAAGACTGTTTTGTTTCTTAATGAGGCTATGCTGGTGAATCTTCCTTCACCAAAGGGAAGCAATTTAGTGGAATGGTTTACTTGGTAAACCATGCACCAGTTTCATCGTGTGGCTATATAAAACATGAAAGTTAATAGTGTGGTGGGAAATATCATTAATGCAATTTTATGATTGTACATAATTTTTTAAATGAAGCTCCAATTACTTGGTAGTTTAGAGAAAACACTGAATATACAGCAATATACAACTTAAGCTAGACAAACTACCTAGAGGTTAGAATCAAACAAAGTAAAGCAGACATGATCAGCTATCTAGAGAATAATCAACCGATGATAAAATAAACCTGGACTTTAATCTTACTTCCGAAACCAACTCAATGTCTCATCTCATGCAAACCTGTAAGTTTGGTTTTCTATGATATTAAATAGAAAAATACTCCTGTGAGGGGAAGCTGAGTTACATACTTCTTAGATATTGCTAATTATTTTCCCCATCGTTAGTTCTTCATGGGGGAAAAAGGGTACACAGAAGAGAGCCCCAGGTGGAACTGTCATCCAATTTATAAATGATGGATATGAATTTTTCCTGTATCTTCGTTAAGGCTTGATTCACAAAATGTCTGTCTCAAGTAAACCTCTTCAGGAGGATTTACCTGGTTACCCCAGCTGAATGCTCCCTTTTTATATTGAGTGTGGAGTGTGTCCGGCTCCAGCATCTCTCTGGCAGGCTGCGTTACAGTATCTCCTATTATCGCCATCGATTTAGTATTTTCCCTCCCTTGCTAGAACACTGGCGTAAATCGTGCCTAATTCTTCACTGACATAGTGATGGACACACAGACCATCAGCACTGAACGAGACGGAATGCCATTCTTCCTTGCGTCTCACCTTTGCACTGATTAGATAAGAGGGCACAGGCTCCAGCTGGCTTTGGTCTCCTTATGGCATTACACACCAGTGCTCATTGAGATCATGTTTGTAAATGCCTAGAATGTGCAGTTCTCATAGATATTCTGCCATGTCCTTTCCCTGCTTAAAACTTTCCAATGGCCTCTCATTATGCTAAAAAATAAAGTTCAAATCCCTTTACCTTTCCTTCATAATCTATTTTGCATGCTCAGCCTCCTGTGTTCCTTTTCACATGTCCCCTATCACTTCATCATCTCTTGTTGTGTTCCATCCATATTAGCTGATTTCCGCTCCTGTAAATGGTTAGGTTTGTCCCTGCCCTGGGATCATGTGCTCTTTCTCTGCCTGCAACACTCTTTTCCAGATGTTCACATGCTGCTGCCGGTTTCTCCTTGTCCTTGTCGGTCCCTACCCAAATATCACTTCTAGGAGAGGCCTTCTCTTGACACTCTATTAAATCCCTACATATTCAACTTCTACCTCTAAGCCAGCACATTTTCTTACTGGCACACTTATTATCATGTGTTTATGCTATTTATTTATTTGATAATTTTATTGCTCCCCCTTCCATTGGAATGCAAGTAACAAAAGGGTAGAAAATTTTTCTTATTCACCTCTCTATTCCAGTGCCTGGAATGGTACCTGAGAAGTTTCTCAGTCATTATTTCTTGAATAAATGAATGAATGAACATCAGACTGTTTAAAGCATCAAGCTTAATTAACTTACTGAAACAACAAAACTTGCGTGAATTAGCAACCCAACAATTATGTGTTCCAACTCACTTCCCATGACAATTCTTGACATGTTGATAGTTTTTGCTAAACAGCTTGCTTAAACTCTTAAAGTATTACCCATAGTATTTGATAACCAAAATGGTGATAATGATGTTAAAGGAGAAATTGTCCTACATGCCAAGGAATTTAATATTAAATTTGGGGAACCAAATATCTCAGATTATAGATAATCTTTTCTTGAGAGATACTTTAAAGAATCTGTAACAGAATTATTTCATGGTTGATTCAAGATTATGATATCGTTTTCAGTTCTACAGACAGGTAGGCTCCTGGAAGTCTCTAAGTTTAGAATCCCAGGAAGAAAAATTGAGATTGTAAATGATCAGGTCATAAATGTTCCAGATTCCCTATTCATTCTTCAGGTATTTCTCATACCATAAAATAGGACAGGCATTAACCTCATTTAAAGGTGGTTGTTCAATTAGGTATATGTTCAACTTTATTACTTTGAATTTCAAGATCCTTAATTTTCTTATTTGCACTTCCTGATTTTTATTATATCTGGAAGTACCACATAGCGTAATATAAGTTTGTCATTCTTCCGGGAGATAATGTACCTGACACCGACTTATGACAGCTTATGCTTGTGCTTGAGCCTTAGGGCAATGTGTCACAGACAATTTGAGGTGAGAGAGAGAAACTTTAAGGGAAGTAAAGAAAGGCAGTCTTGGCACCCATCTTACAAAGCAAAATATGAGTAATTTATCCAAAGTCGATTATGGTTAATTCTCGCATAAACATGGTGATTCCAGCTGGTACTCACCTTGTTCATTCATATTTAGGTCATCACATGAGTAGACATAGAAAATAAAATTGTATGCCCAAGCTGGGATGGTTTCTTGGTTATCTCATAAGGAAACAAGATGTGATCTCTCAGAACAACTGAACACACTTGAGAAGTGCCCCCACCTGTTGTTAAATAGTGCATCATCGATCCCTTTCCTACGAAGCAGATCTTGTGGCCCATAGGGTGTGTCTTTGCATTTAGAGTCTGTGTCACACAGTAAGGTTTGCAGAAACGGGAAGAATCCAGTGCTAGGAAGGTTTCGAGGTGCGAGGTAACCTGAAATCAAGAAACAATAATTATGTCACTATGACACATTTGCCTGGGAAGGGAAAGAAGTACAGTAACTCTGTTTTGTGAAATTACCATGTGGATTATGACTGTCTAGGTTTCCCAAACTAGCCCCAACTCTACAACTAATATGCACCACTAGGTGGGAGCAGCCTTGGAGGGTGTTTTGTTTAACTTGATTTTTCTGGATTTGCTAATATGTCTCAAAAGACTTTTAAATGCCTATAACCTGAAGAATTTCTTTTCCTGGGATTTATTCTAAGGAAATACTTATAAGTAGTTGCAAGTATGTTTGCTAAGGTGTTTTAAAAATAAATCACAGAATATTCATATGATAAAACACAATGCAGCCAATAAAAATGCTATCAATTAATATGGAAAGTATTTATAATGTATTAGTTAAAAAGAATAAATCAGAAAATAATATGAACAGAAGAGTCCTAATCTTTTAAGATGTATATAAATACATGTATATTAAAAAATCTGAAACGTTACATCACCAAAAATTTGATTGATAGCTTTTTTACTGAATAGTTAGTTCATTTTATTTACTTCATTTTGACTGTATATTAACTATTTTTTCACAATATATATGTCTTCTTTTGTATTTAAAGTGGCATAAATTCAGCGAATCTTCCAAATACTGGGAGATATTTTTGGTCTCCTCAAACTTTAACATTATAATTATTCTATATGCACAACTTTTTTTCCTATTTAAAAACCAATAGTAAGTGGTGTGAATGACTGTGCAAATTTTCCCTAAAATTAGTCACAAAAAATAAGAACTGTAACAGTAAAGGGTTTTACAAACTTTAACATTTGCTTTATAAAATGGGATGACGGCATACACATAAGTCAAGATGGGTAAGCGGTGAAGCAATAATCTTTTCACAATTATGCTTGATATTAAAACACTAGATTCTTCCCTTTTGGGGAACATGCAGGCAACGAACTTTCAAAAAAGGCAAGTTTAGGAACAATGAGGAAAATTCTAGACTGAAGGCTAACAAGTAAAACCTTGATTTTGTCATGAATGTGTTAAAAAGAGTGTTAGTACGGGTTTATTTTCATTTTAAAGAGAAAGAAGAAAAGTTAAAAAGAGAGAGAGAATGGTAAGAGTGACACGGCTATGCATTAACATACTAGCAAGGAGAATGATATATAGAAATTGGATTCAATCCAGAAGGAATCCGGCCCTGCTGGCACTTTGGTGTTTAGCCCACCAAGACTGAGTTTTGAAATTCTGACTTCCAGAATTATGAAATAATACATCTGTATTGTTTTAAGGCACTCAATTTGTGGTAATTTATCATAGCAGCCATGGAAAAATAACGCAGCAACTAATACTAGTATGAAAGTTTCGAAAACTCAGAAGAAATCAAGTCCACCAAATTATTCACTAGTACCTTCTAAGCAGCCCCCTTTTTTTTTGATACCAGAGAGACTGGTACTTTTCCTAATATTAAACCCCAGTGAAAATTGCAGTGAACCAACAATAATTCCCATCAGTGTGTTCATTGTAGTGCAAGTCCCTGAATAAACTAAAAGCTGAAATCAAATTGCCTGTTAGCTTTTCATGTCATCCCTCTATAACAAAATTCGGCCACAGTAAACTGCATACAACAAGACCTTTAGAAATCTGTAGTGGAAGTTTGCCATTAACCATAATCTACCCTGTTGTACAGATCTTGGCTGCAGACGCTCGCTCAGGGTGCGGGTCTGTAATTGGACTTGTTCCTACTCTAAGGAAGGTAGATAAAAGGACAACAGAAACAGATGACCAGGTGACCTCTCTCCTGCATGCCACTTATCAGCGTGGTGGTGTGGCTGAATCAGGCAGTGCTGAATACTCAGAAACTTATAAAAAGCCACACTGCCACCCAAAGAGAGGAGAAGGAGGGAAAAGATGTCACAGGAAGAAGAGCTGAAGAGAGGTGGCACTTTACATCCAATTTTACCTTAGTGGTGTTGATTACAATTTGCAAGTTATTGGAGAGGAATTAGAAGGAATTAAAACCCACAACATTCTTTGATGTGCTAGCTATATAGCATAATCTTTTTACTTTATAGGAAAATTCATCATAGGGTTTCTTTGAAAATAAGCTCCCAGGGTGTTGAAAGTATACATAGTCTATGCTCTGCATAGTTTTTTGATAACTGACATTTTACCTGTTACCATGGGATTGTGCAAATGAGGAACTGGTTCAGGTATGCACAAGTTTTGGTTAAAATAGTGCCGTGCAGAGTGTGGACTGCCTGCATTGTTCATTTTACCATAATTTTTAAAACAAGAGCTGTCCACTCATCAAGGTAAAGGGGCCTGCTGCAACAATAGCAATCACACAGATTTATTAAGTATCTACTGTATCCCATGCACTGGGCTAGGCATGTAACATACATTTACATTATTTGTCCTTCCTTGATGTCCATAATATACTTCCCTATGCATTCAACTTTTCACAAAATCTGGAAATCCTCTAGAATTAACAGATATGAATTAAACTTTATTATAGCTTTCTTGTAAGAAAAATCTGAATTTTTCAATCTTCCACCCATCTCGGTTATGTGTGCAAAGAGTAAACATTGAGAGCCATGGTGGAAGCAAACTGTCTCACATGTTAAAGAGCTGCTAATTTTAACTTGTACTCATTCTATCCTGAAGGTGCTTCTGGTGCTTTCAGGTCCTAAAATTATGTTTGCTCTATATTTTCAAATGGTAGGATAAAGAAAAATGAGAAACATTTCTCTATCTTTCACAAAACTTCCACACAGCAAGCATAGAAAATGCAAAATTAAGCTTAATAATTGAATGTCCATGTTTACAGCCAAAGCACAGATTTCAGGACCCAGGTAGAAGATCATGAGTGCATAAACAATGACACCACGAGTAGGTTAAAAAAAATAGATCTCAGAGTCTTGGGATGCACTGCATAAGAAGAATGAAGTCTCTGGTACCTGGTACTATGATTCCCAAAGGTCTCATACCCAGGACAACATTCATGCCCATCTGCAGAAGAAAAGCTATTGAAAAACTTGCTAATTTCATGGGATCAAATTCAGAAGATGCCAGCATAGTCTGGGAATTTTGCTAGGTGGTGAGCAAAATTCCAAGCCACCTATGGCTTAATTTCTCAGTGTCTCCAAGCACAGGCAGTGAGCAGCCACCCCTGGGTGGGGAGAGAGGCTTCTCATTAAATAGATACAGTCCATGTTGTTGACTCAGTCCAATCATAACACTGACATGGTCCAACTTTGTTTCAGGGAGCTGAAGGAAGCCAAACTATAAAACAATTTTAGCAACAAACCACCAATTAACTCAGCTTTAAACTGGATCAAATCCATTTTTCATTGCTGTAAGAATGAAACCAGGATTTTAAAAAGATTCAGTTCTAAAAATTTTTTGTAAATAATTGTGATATCAAGTGATACATCTATGGTTACCTAAAAAGAGGATCAACTTTGATTTTCCTTTCCCTTTCTACACAAAAGTTCTTATTCAGAACATTAGTGTGACATAAAGTAAAGATGAGAACAGCGATTCTCAAAGTGTGGTCCCAGGACCAGCACACACACTACCGGGGAACTTACTGGAAATGGAATTTTCAGATCCCATCCCAGATTTCCTCAATCAGAAACTCTGGGGATGGGGTTCAACAATCTGTGTGAGTTTCTTTTTCTTTTTTTCTGGAGACAGAGTCCTGCTCTGTCATCTCGGCTAGAGTGCAGTGTTGTCATCATAGCTCACAGCAGCCTCAAACTCCTGGGCTCAAACGGTCCTCCTGCCTCAGTCTCCCAAGTAACTGGGACTACAGGCTTAGGCCACCGCACCACTAATTTTTCTACTTTTTGTAGAGATGGGGTCTTGCTATGTTACTCAGGCCAGTCTGGAACTCCTGACCTCAAACGATCCTCCTGCCTTGGCCTCCCAGAGTGCTAGGATTACAGGTGTGAGCCACCGCACACGGCCAGCGATCTGTGTTTTAACAAGTCCTCTAGGTAATTCTGATGCACGCCAAAGTTTGAGAGCCACTTGATTAGACTGCAAACCTTTTATAAGAGTCAGATAGTAAACATTTTAAGGTTGTGGGTCATACCATCTCCATCACAATTACTCAGTTCTGCAATTGTAGTGTGAAAGCAGTCTTAGACAACATGTACATCAACGGGCCTGGTTGTAGTCCAATAAAACTTAATTTACAAAAACAGGAAGTAGGTTGGATTTGGCACATGGGCTGTAGTTTGCTGACTCTTGGGAGGATAATCTTTCTTACACTCATCTGCCTCCTTCCCTGCCTTGTTCATCCCCTGGTTTCACTTTCTCCCCCATCCTTCTTTTCCTCTTCCCTCATTGCATCAAATCTACTGAATACCCTTTTTCCTCTAATTCTCAATCTTTTTTCTTTCCTTTCTACTCACCACCTCCTCTTTTTTCTCTTTTTCTCCTGCTACTCCCTGTCCTCCCTCCTCCCCATCTATATCTTTACTCTCTGATTCAGCCAAGAATGTAGTTCTCTCCCAAGATCCTCCCTCACTACTTTGTCTCTTTCACCACCACAAAAAGATTTTTACCCACTTCCATAATAAATTCAGAAACATGATGCTCATTGGCACTGTCTAGAGAAGTGCTATCTTCTATTTATTTCATTACTGAACAAAGAAATGTCACACTCTTTTCGGGAATGAAGCTACTTCCGTTTGACATTGTAAGCTTAAGAAGTATTCTGTAGGCTGTTTTGATAGCATTGGCAGTCAGTATAGTAATGGTAGTAATTGGAGAATTTCCACTGTTTCTTTGTGTTTTTCTCAAAACAGGTCAGAACCCAACCTAGATGGTATTTTTGTGTTTCCAGGTGATAGGAATTTAATCTCTACCCCAGTGAAGATGTGAATCATATATCTTGGAAGGAAAAATAGGACTTTTTAAAAAATATAGAATTACTCATTGGTGGCATTATCCGCTTCTTAACTTTTTAGATACAGGGTCACAT